TGGTATCCTATTCTATTGTAGTATGCATATTTAAATATTTTTAATAATCTCAAAAACCGAAGATTTTAAGCATATTTAACCCTGATAATAAATACCTTTTTTTGGGTCCAAGAATCCAAAAATGAAATAAAATACCGGGTGATCCATAAGAAAAAATATAACTTTGATATGGATATTAGTTCTGACACACCCTATATATTTCAAAATAATTTTAAATTGTGCACATTGCGTTTCCCACATTTATCCATAAAATATTTCTACATCTTTCCGTTTTCGTATAATCAATCGAGGCGAATGAGGTGCGCCACCCTGTATACTAACGTACCGTATTTTTTTTTCTTATCCAGAAAAATAAAAAAAGTTATAGGAGTGAGCCACTTTTGAGAAACACCCAATATATTTCTACAGAAATCTACCTAGATCAACAAACACGCTCCTGAGATACCTATAGCATTATATTTGAGTATAGCTATTTATTACTAATTTTGATTATTTCTACCATTATTCAGCGGTTCACTTCATATACGCAGCTGCTTCTAAATGCAGCACGCGCGTTAATACGGCCAAATTAATTTACCGTGAGGGATGTTATGGCGTTCATCGTCGCCTTTGACAACGAATATGTCTTGCGATAAATTTAATAGCAAATACTATTACGAGGCATATATTAATATGTAACACGACGGCGCTAACCTTGTTAGGGAATATATTAGAATTCTTCTGTGTCGCGTGAAAACCGTCAGCAATATATGCCGCGAACATAACTTATTTATAGAAAACTCATATATAACACGTACGGCTATAATTATTTTATGAAAAATTGACAGTTTTATGGATGCTAGAGAAACGGAGAACAAAATGATATTGATATGGACAATATTTTTTTATTCGGGGATCGATAACTAAATAGTTATTTCTGTAACTATTTAATTACAAATTTCTTGCAGTTTAGAAGCCGAGAGCTGCAATCATGCTGAGTGCAACAAATACAGGGTCCGACAATAGTACGTCGGGCATCTGTAGTTCCTAGGATAAAAAAAAATTGAGAATTTTGTTTTAGTGTAAAGTTAAAGTAAGTACTAGGATGTAATTCGGGAAAATATTTTAACTTTTATAGGGTGGCTCAAAAAAGTGTGAGTGGGATTAATTTTTTTTAAATGGAACACCCTGTATATTATTGCAAATTTGGCTTCCCTTAAGATAACTTTACATAATCCTAAGATAGATTTCAGAGATATTAATAAATAAATAAAAATATATATTGCCACTTGATATTTTTTTATCTCAAAAACTGCGACTGACTGATTTTGATATTATTACAAATTTTGTTGCAAATATTATTTCTAATCTTAAATTGAAAACCTCGTTTCGCTAGCTACTGTAATTTTGGAGTTACGATTTTTAAAAATTTTTAACCCCCTTCCATACACCCTTTCCAACCCCCCCCCCTCCCACCCCCACCAAAAACTAATGGCCAGATTCTCGGGTGCAACATTATTTTTGTGCCAAATTTGGTTAAAATCGGTTTAGCGGTTTTGGAGTTATCGTGTTACAGACGGACGGACGGACGGACAGACAGACACCATGAAAATATTTTGTATTTAGGTCATTTATGATCCAAATAACTCATTTTGAGTGAAATTAAAAAAAATTGCCGATCTTAATAGCCTACCATACCTGTCGGTATGGTCGGCTAAAAATAGGGTGTTACGTTTAAAAAAACATATGTTATACCCGCCACCCTTTTTAGAACCACCCTGTATACTCTAATAATACCCTAATAATTTTAAAATGTGTGTCTTAACCTTCCCTATAACTTTTATATTTAACATTTTTTTGTAAACCTGTACAAACATAAAAAAAATCAGCTATTTTGGGGTTTGTTAAAATCAGTCCTATTCCAGAAAAATATTTTTTCCGATTTGATATGCCACTTATTCGATCTATGAAAAAATAGCAGAAACAAATTTAAGTTTATTATTGAAGTAAGTTTTAAATCTGTATCAAAGCAATAAATACGCGACCTTTACAATAGAATCGATAGAAAATTTTGTACGTTATACGACTCGACAACAATATTTCGCAGATATTGCCATGCTTCATGCGGCTTTTGTGAAATCTGTAGGCTTAAACTGCAAAATACCAGTCCGAGGTTGTGTAAAGTAAATTACTATTTGGATGCGTATTTACTCAGTAATAAGAAAAGCTTCTATTTTTTTAAATTTAATAATATTACAATTTTTATTAGAATTTTAGGAAATATCATTTTTATTCGAATATTATTAAAATTATTATGATGCGTAGGTTTTTCGAACCAATTTAAATAAATATGATATGGGTTACTTATTTCTACTAAATTAACTATAATCTATTTTAAAAAATGTTTTAAATTTAAAGGAAGCTATAACAATTCCGCAATAATCAAAAAGTTTTATTATTTTATAAAATGCTTTCATACTCCTTAGCTTAGATATTTTTTGAAAATGTATTTAAATTTTTTAATTTCAGTTATTTTTAAATTTCTTCACCTGCAAGTATCTTGCAGCAAGACCAAGATCAAAACTACTTAACTAGTCTGCAATATCAACACCTTGCTGGTCTTGGTCTTGCTATTTACTATCTGTTTGATAAATACTATCAAGTGCATACCAGAGATTGTCCCTATAATAAATATTATTTTAAAAGGCAGAATTCAAAAAGAAATAAAAAAGCATATAGAAGATGTCGATAAAGATTAGTCCTTTCGATTTATATCTTTTCATATTATTTATATATTCTTATATGAACACAATAAAAAAATATAAAATTAAAAATATATAGAACATCCTGTGTAATCAGGTCTACCCGTCAGGTAGTTTATACAGTTAAAGCTAATTTTATTTTCAATAGTAGATACCAATAAAAGAGAAGAATTAGTGCTAAAACTAATGTTAATGTATATTGCACTGAACGTTTAGAAAAACAATTTTGTATTTTATTTATGGAAAATGTAAATTTGTATTTTTTTAATCCAACGTAACCACTTTACAGTTATATTTACATCTTAAGCTGTCTCATAATATTCATAACATGTTTAATTGTGATCCACATTTTGTTTTTAAGGTCTTTTTTATTCCTTAAAAAGTTTATATTTATTTCTATTAACGTTTCTCAGTTTATTTTTTCGAAAACACAACGATTAAATAATTATTTGTATGTAACCGCAGGATATAAATAAAACATATTAATTAGTAAGGACAATTAAGTAAATATATTAAGCTTATATTAAATTTTAAATTATTGACAGTGACAGTTAAGTTAGTTTAAGTTTTAAATATAGTAATATTAAAGAAAACAACAGATTGGCATTACATTGGAAAGCTTATAAAGCAGCAATTGAAAGTTTGAATGTGGTAGACAATTATTCGGAATTGAAACTAAACGAATTTCGGACTTCCGTTTCCTCTATTTAAATGTTTTAACTTACAAAACAATGTATCACTGACCGTTATCAAATGTAAATTAATCTAAATTCTAAATTTACTGAGTTTTTATATATTAGAGCCAGGTATTAACTAGTGAAAAAGTTGGGTACAGTCAACCGTCAGGTTGTCCACTGAAAAAGTAAAGATTCCAGTTAACGTCTCCTTTTTGCTACTAGGGCTAATCTGGACGGAGCCTACTTTGTTTTGTACGCGGAATCCGAACCGCGGTCCTCAGCCATATTATGGTCAATGGCCTATCGACTTGGCAAGTGTCTAAATCAACTCTTACTCACGAGATATCCGATCTCATCCGGCCTCGAACCGACGTGAATGAGCAGTGTGTGTCAATAGATTTTACACTTTTGCCTTAATTGGACAACAGCACGATACAGAGTTTCGAACCGGTCACCCGTCCATCCACTAGTAGCGCCTTACGTCGCTTAACTTCGGTGTTCTAATGGGAACCGGTGTTTCGAGAATTCACGAATACGTTCTTTTTATAAGCTGTTGATATATCATAGGAATACCCGTATTAGGATTGCTAAACACGTTATTATTATTGCTATAAAAACGCTTCTTTAACTGTATGCTCTTTTCAATGAGGTTTCCTGTGGACCACCAAACTTTCAACCACTTTATATTGTGCTGTTTAGACAACACCTGGTCCGCAATACTGCATTGACGACTCACCGCATTTACGAGGTATCTGGTAGGTACACTCTTTCCCTTGTTTCGATTAGAACGCTTTTCGAGAGAGTTGATCCGGATATGAAGAGATTTTTAATGTTATATTTTTTGACTATTCGAGTAGCCAGGAAAGAGAGAGCATTTTCCTAAGGCCGGTAAAAAATAAAATTTATTTTTAATATCAGCATAGGTCCGATTCTGCTTTGTTTCGTAGCTACATGTTGTTAAATTCTTATTGTTTCGATTTATAATAATTTTCTTCCAACTACTTTTAGCGTTTCTAATGAAATTTTGATGGTAAAAGTTACTATAAATGCGACATATTTTGAAGCTTAAAAAGTGTCGACATATTCACCAGCGACGTCCATATGTGTTATCACTGGAATATTTTTCTAAAAAAAGCATATACGCCACTGACTATTATCATACACCCTAAATATATTTTTTTTAGTTTTTGAAGAGAGTTTTTTAATTATTTTGTGTTCTTATTAGATAACTCTGAGGCAATCGGTTTGTCTGAACACAAAATTCAACGCATTATTTTTGAAAAAAACTCTATATTTTATGTATATTAAAAGACTATTTAGTCCATAGAATATCAAGAATAAATGATTCTGTATTATTGCACACAGCATGTAATATGAAATATTACCTAGTGTTATACGTATTCACTTTTGTGCTTTATAAGTATTATTTTTCTTCTCTCCTTCCTAATTTATTCTAACAATGCTGTTCTAAATTTAATTTGTTCTCTCGTAAATTCTAAACACCGTTTTCGCATTAATTCCAGAATTGAATTAAATTCACTTAAGACAGAATGTACCTGTAACGTTTGCATTTCACTTGCAGACTTACAACATGGACGCCCAAATAGGAGAATCGTCGGCATGTGCCACTGCACTCATGTGCGGAGTAAAAACAAACTTCGAAACCGTCGGTCTGGACGCCAGAGGCAGATTCGAAAACTGCTTTTCAAGCTTTTCCTCGAGAGTGCCTTCTTTGATAGACTGGGCACAAGAATCAGGTAATATATTATCCCATTTATTTTTCGCTTTTTCGAGTAAAATAACTGTTTTAAACTAGATTTAATAGAACCGGTTTTATTTCAGTACCTATATTTGGTGCGGGATCTTTTTCTTGAATAGTTAAAATTCTGCATCATTAATTTGTTCGTTTAGTATTTTTATTTATATATTATTATTTTTATTTATATATTAAGTATTATAGAGTTTTTGTATTTTGTAAGTACCTAAGAACCATAAATAATATTTGATATACAGGGTGGTCCCAACTGTATTACGGAAACTTCAGCAACATATTCTGCAGATAAAAATAAGTAAAAAAGATCGTATAAATGCTTCTTTTTGGAGATACAGGATGTAGAAGTAACGTCAATATTTGGATGAAAATTAGTGTCTGGACGTTTTTTGATATGAGAAATTTGACTTTGATGTCAATAGGACTCCTAATTGTAGGGGGCGCCACCTACATGTGTCTTAACTCTTTTGAAGAGTAATAACTTTTCGGCCGTACCGTTATAAAACTCCTGAGTGAAAAAATGTACATTTCCGTGATTTCTCACGTAAAAAATGTGTCTTGGTAAAAATCGCTACGAGTAATGGTTTTCGAGGTATTTGGAATCTACATTATCAATATCTGCCATCATTGACATAAATTAAACATGTTGACTAAATAGTTATTAGATTGAAATCATAAATTTGAAATGTTTTTGTGTTAAAAGTTCAACAGAAACAGTTTTATCGTTATTTTTTTAAGAAAAATTGATGATTACTTTAAAAAAATTAAATATAAAAAGTTACAAATTTATCATTTCAGTCAAATAACTATACCATACGTGTGTTAATTTTTTGTCATTAATGACATGCATTGACTATTTCCATTCTAAATATCTTGAGAACGGTTTCTCGTAGCGATTTTTACTAACAGATATTTCTACGTTAAAAAGCACGGAAATGTACATTTTTTCACTCAGGAGTTTTATACAAGTACGGACGAAAAGTTATGACACTTCAAAACAGTTAAAACACATATAGGTGGCGCCCCCTACAAACAGGAGTCCTATTGACATCAAAATCCAATTTCTAATGTCAAAAAACTCCCAGACCCCAATTTTCATCCAAATATTGACGTTACTTCGAAAAAATTGAAATAAAAATTAAATTTCTGTATCCTGTATCTCCGAAATTAAGCATTTTAGAACATATATTTATACAAACTTTTTATTTATTTAAATATGCAGATTATGCTGCCGAAGTTTCCGAAATACAGTTCGGACCACTCTGTATACATTTGCTGTTTGACTTGGAATGTACTTATTTTCTTAGCACGTAAATGAACGAAACAGAAGTTAGGATACAAAATAATTATTATACAGGTGAGTCTTAAATAAGTGCAAATATTTTCATGGCTGATATATCTCGATAAAAGAAACATATTTTTTCTTTACCGGCTTTCAAATAAAACCAAAATAACCGAGTTTTTTTTTTCAATTTTTTTTTTGAAGTTATTTTTTTTATGAGCATCTTATCTGAGGGTTATTTTTTTTGAAAAAAATGTATTGTAAATTTAACCTGCAACCTATGTTGCCATATTATCAAAAATTTATGCTTTTTAACTAAAAACTAAAAAAAAGTCCAATTTTTTTATAAACATTCCAAATTATTTTGAAAAAAAACATTTTGCAAAAAAACCTCATAATCGTGTTTCTGGGGTCGAACACTCATTGTGTATATGCTTGGTAAACATAACAGCTTCACCGAGATAAATAATAATAAGAGATGTAATCTAAAGAATGGTTCACATTTATTTATCCAGATATACAGTACGAGTCTTAAATAAATGCAAATATTTTCAGGGCTGGTAGATCTCCAAAAGTAAACTCCAAAATAAACAAGGTATTTTATTTTGAAAATTTAAGAATTTTTTCTGGTTAAATATTGAAAACAGCTGTAGGTTTTCTGGGTTTCCTCCAGTATTGCCATATTGTGAAGATATTATGATATTTAATTTAATTCTATTTTTTTTTTCAAAAAATTCCCAATTTTCGATTTTTTTAGCAAAAAAAGCTTATAGACGTTTCTGAGATCGAAATATACTACCCCTAAAAAAATTGCACTTATTTAAGACTAACCCTGTATAATTGAATATAAAGTAGGAAAAAGAAATAATTAAATTGAAATTGTTTTAATTATAATGATGTCAACTTTATTTTCAATTATATTGCCAGTTCGTACTCTTTGATAAAGAATTATCATAATTCATCAATATATGTTACGCATTTATTTATCCAGATATATAATAATATTATATATTTGAATGTATTTATGATTGTACCTATCAGCCTCTTTCTAACTCAATATTTTGCTTTAAATTTGAATTTTAGATAGGCTACATTACAAGAAAATATCACTGCTACATTTGCTAATATTTTATTTTTTATAATTAAAGACACACTAAAAAACAACAAAAACGGATATTTAATTAATATTATAATGTGTTCATTAAAGAGTTTCATACTAATGGAAAAAATTTAATCGTCATTTTTTAAAGTGTATGTCGGTTTCATATGTTCACGGCTAAAATGTAACGGACTGTATATGGATCAGTGTTAAAACTCTAATATAGCTTTATGCCGTCAAGTTTAAGTTATTTTGCACTTGATAAAGGAATATTTTACAGCGGCAATTGATGGAACTGTCTTTGTACATGTTGCTTATCTGATCATCCACGCTAGGTCGTGTTATTGGGAGCAGTGGCTGCTCGGAAAACAATACCGATGTCTTTTTGAGTCGCGGAAATTGGAAAAATCCAATCTGATTTCCAATAACGTTACAGATAGGCAGGAGAAGAGTAAAAACGGGATCAACAGCAAGGCAAAAAGAAAATTGGGGGTTCCGACTTGGCCGTACAGTCAACGGTTTAATGCAAAAAGTGTTAACGTCACAGATAAGTATCGCTACACAAAAACGCCTCTAAGTAATAGCCGTTTGTAAATGGGTAACCTAAGGCTTGTTAATTAATGTGCGATAAAGATTTTTCTCAGCAAAGATTATATCCTCTTTTATATTTAGCACTACTTCCATCCAAGAAATATATATTTACTTTATTATTTTCTTGAAAATATGCAAAACAGCATATTACTAATCATACATTTCTTTTAAATTTAATTTAAAGACATTTTTAATTTAAATACATACATATTTATCGATCATATTAAATAAACTTTTTGTCACGTGATTAAACTTGACCGGCACAGCGTTGCCCATTTTTACATATTTACTTTAATCAAAATATTTTAGAAAACAAAAACAAATTAATTATAAATATATACACTTATTATTTACATAAAAAACTCCTTTTTAACCGCCCTTTGCGGCCCTTACTACTGCTTTCCCGTTCAAATTATACTAATAAAGTTGCGATGAGTTTTTCACGGCTATTAAGCTATTTTGTACACTTCCCACTAAAAGAAGTTCTAAGAAGAACAATGTTTGACTGCAAGTAAATAGAAGCTAAAAAAGTCTGCTGGTATAAAAATTTAGCTTAAAGTATAACACACATTTTAAACCAAAAACTCGTAATAAAATGCTGAAGTGTCAAAAAGAATGACAATGTCAGCAAATAAATAAATACATGTGGCAACTTGACAATTTTTACCATTTGAATCCCCAGCCGAATATGTCCATGGCTGGCAACAATGAATTTAAAGATCGCGCCCTCGATTACGTAACTAAAAGTTTAATTGGTATTGAATATATATAATAGTAAAACCCTATATTTTATATAAACATTTTTGATTGGTAACTTAAACTTATTCATTTACACTGATGTTTTGCAATTAAAATAATTATTTAAATTACGCAAACAAAAGGCCTAATTTCATATCAGCGTTTATTTCGAATTTTTGGACACCAAGAAAATTCATTATAATAAATTACATTTTAATTTTTCCAGGATATTATTTTGTGAAATATTTTGGAACACTAGTTTTCTCCAATTTTTGCTCACTAAATATTAAAAGTCGCGCATATTAAAAATAAACGAATAATCAGGTAGACAAACGAAATTTCTCCATATATGTAAATTGTGGTATTTAAGTTAGATAGAAGATAATACTACAGAAGATAATACCTGACATAAAAGATAATAATTCAAAGTTAAAAAAATAAAACACCACCAAAACTATTTGAATTAAACATTATACGCTGAGTTACATATTTTTAATTAGACTAGCAACTATCAACTAATATTTTAGTGTAATTATTTTATTATTTGTCTTATTATGTGTTTTGTAAAAATATACTTTACTCTGTACTTATTTTTATAAAAAAATTAAAAAAGGTAGTTTTTTTGCTGGAATTGTTATAAATATTTTAGAATATGACTCAGACATATGTTTTTTTTAATGGGACGCCTTTTATATTATTTTTTATTTTATTTGTCTTGTTATAAACTTTCTAAAAATATAAGACACTCTATACTTATTTTCATACCTAAATAAGGTAAAATGTGCATTATTTTACTTTTGAACAAAAATTAACCTAGTTAAGAAAAAAAGCACTGTATATTTAGTTAATTTAATTTAACCAAATAAGCTTGCCTTTCATCGTGTTATCTTATTAAACTGCACGATAATATACATTATGCGGGTTTTAAATAACACGCCTCAATCAGAGTTATAGATATTTTTGATGCACTTGAACAATAATTTCACACACAAAAACTAGCCTAAAATAGCCAATAATCAAAATTTGAGATCGAATAAACTAGGCGATTGTTTTAATTACCATATTTAAACCGACCGCCTATGCTAAGTTAAAAATGCAATTTTTAAATTTATATAAGATAATAAGTGGAGTATGTTATATTTTTATAAAACTCATATATCATCTTTGGACCCCCGATACACATTTGTGTACAAAATATTTAACTGTATCTCCTTAATTTACCGTTTACACAAATTAAATTTAGAGCGATAACTCCCAATACGGAATGATCATATTT